TAAAATACAAATATGAAGAAATTACCTACATTTTTTAATATCTCTGGAATGAACAGAAAGTTATATGAAATATGTGTTTATTACAATTTTTTACGTTTGATTATTTACATTAATTTAACAAATTAAAGTGAATAGACATTTGGTATATAAACATACTTAACTTAATAAAATTTCACCATCTTCAGATGTGAACATTATATATATTTTTTTGCTTAATTCAGGGCCTACTTTACGTGATGTTGTGAGAGGCCCAACAGCTCTTCTAATCTATAAAACACGAGAGATATACTTGAGAATTTAATTTTTATAAGTTTTAAACGTTTGCATATAATTTTCTCTTACATACATACAGTGATTCACATTAACATTCTACTTTATTTGTCCGAATATTAATATGAGTTACTATATGTTTACAAATTATAAAAGATACTTCAAATTGATGTCTTACTGGAATATCTTTTAGTAGGTTGAGTCCTTCTGTTTGTGAGCAATTGTTATAGATCTGAAAAAAAAACAGAATAGAACAAAAGTTATACAATGTATTAAATCATGCTTAATATGTAACACTTACTTCCATCAAATCTGCAGGACATCGATATATGGAACAGATTGCTTCCGCAATTTCCAGGCTACTCAAGTTGAATTGACAAAGTTGCTGTTGCCATAGTCTTTTCAATCCATTTCCATCTTTATCCACACGCACTGAGTTTCTGTTATCTCCCATTACATACCAATCAAATTTGCTTATCAAATTTTTATCCTTCTCTGCCTTAAATGGAATCTCTGCTATAGTTTTAGTACACTGATATATCATTAATGCTAACTCTTCTGATCTATCTATTAATCTACTGCTACACTTGCTAATAATTTGTATTTTATTCAAGCATGACTCAAGTTGTTGTTTTGAAATTTCAGGATAATTTTCAAACTCACAATTGCTTTTACTTTTAGTTTTCTGTGTCTTATTCTGTTCTCCATATTTACTTGATTTCTTTGATTGTTTTCTCTTTGTGAAGTAATCTCCTATATTATAGATAACTAACATTATATTATAGTTAGGAAATGATTCTTTGATACTGGATATAGTTGTACAAAAACTGCCATCTGCTACTTTTGTTACCCCCTCATTCCAGTTCCATATTATTAACATTTGATTAACTTTTTCAATATTCGTTGCTCTACATACTTCATTATCTTCGTTAAGATAACTGTGTTCAATATTTCTTTTCCATGTAATGCTGTTTGGGATTAATTTATCGCTAATACTGAATTGTATACTAGCATCAAGTAATGCAGTTAAAATTTCGTTCTTACAGCTAAACTGTTCAATACCTTTATCCAGAACAACTTCTATAAATTTCATGCATTCACCTGGCTTAATGTTCTTGGAGTTTTTTGATGCAATTGCTTTCAGTGCTCTGTCTCTTTTCAATTGTTGCTGTCTTTTCAATCTTTCCTGTGTTAATTGATCTTTAGTTTTCTTTTTAGCAGGTTTATCAACTTTAGTTGCTTTTCTTGCTTTATCTTCTTCATAAAACTCTGCAGGATCAGATAAATCTGATGTGCTACAAGAGGATGTTTTAACATTTCGTTTTCTTGATTTAGTGTTTGCAGTACCTGCAGATGATGATGGTGATGATGGTGATGAACAGACTTTTCTTGATTTGAAGGGACTAATGTTAGATAAATAATTTTCATTATAATAATCATCTGCTGTGGATAATTCGTTATCGTTTGCGGCATGATGAAAATGTACTTCGGGAAATTCGAAGTCATCCTCGTCGAAATTCACAACATTTACGGATCGATCATTCTTTACAGAGGAGACAGATATATCTGAATCACTGAGCACAACGATGTCTGTCATTTTATATTAAAATATTTTAAGAAACTAACTCTCAAATGTAACAACTAATATTTACATCAATGGTAATATTGGGTAATAGTATATCATAAGAGATCAAAAATAAGAAACTCTCTACGATCGTATTGGTCTGAATAGTGTTTTTCAAAATAATAACCATTTTTACATGTCACATTTTTTTATTTTGTGCATTCTGATTCGCTGTAAACAAGACATTTCTATACATTCCAATTAAAAATGTAAATATCGATTTTTCAGATTGCATTGCATAGATTGTGAAATTTATAGAGTCAAATGTTTTTGTTAGTCATACATATATACATATGCATAGTAAATGTAATGTATATACATAGTGAAATATACATCTATTCTAAACAATTTCTAATTCGCTCATTAACTATTAATAAGGGTAATTTATAATTCCGTACCCTTGGTTTAATTTTTTACGCCCTAATTTTTCTATAATTAATCTTTTTGGGCGACCTGCATTGTGCATATGCATGCACCTCCTATGTGGCGCCTCTTTTGGAGAAAAAGAGACACCTTCGGTGTCCGTACAGCGCTAATTGGGATAGTGTCAAAATACTGAAACTGTTAGCCAAAATGACCAACAATCGAGTTTGACTAACAGTTTGAGCGTTTTTCATACTCCCACAATTGGCGCTGTACAGACCTCGAACTAAGTTAACTAACTTTTTCTTTACAAGAGGCGCTACAATCACCCGTATATAATAAGCGAATAGAAAAGAGGATATTCTGCGGCTGTGTGACAGAGTGAAAAAAATTCGACGAAATCAGAGGTTGAAAATTCAAAAAATTCGATTACATACTGATTATGTACGTCAGCCACGTATAACTCGTGGCGCTGTGATCCGTGTCACAGAATCTTGTGACACAGATGGCAATGCTGTTTTTCATAGCGCTATCGAGAGGTGAATATAGGAGGCTCAACAACTATTGTTTTCAGCGGCGTACACTGTGCTCGCATCGTTTCTGCAAGCATCGCTCGATCGCTCTAACATTCATATAGTCCGAGTTTCGGGCGTAGACCGGTTTTGCTTGGCTATCGTTAACTTTTCAACTGTGGCGGAAATCATGACGTCATGAATGAAGTGTCGATGACAAACGGATGATACATCGAAATGATACGGGATTGTGTACACGCTAAAGTGTTTGCTTTTCAATGTGACTCATTTCGTGGGAAAGCATTCGGTGCAAAAGCAAGGGGAGAGCGGCGTTTCGTCCGGGTCTCGCTAGAGGACTCATCGGTAAGGCTTTTCTAGCGGGCCCTGCCTTAGACATCGGGATATCGGAAGAACGGACAAAGTCTGTATATATACAAACTGAGGCGGATCGCTTACTTGCGGGAAAGGAGAATCCATCTGCTGGCGAGTCTGGAGGTAGCCGCCACACGTTCTTGGGTTTTATTCGCGAATCTATAATTTCGAAGCCGTAGTCTTATGAAGGTAAGAAGCTGTTGTTTGCTTGCACCGATGTCGTATCGCCCGTATGCAAGTGTCAAAACTTGGGGAAACTAGTGAAGTATTTCAAAGTTGTATGTTCCCTAATCGCATATGCCTCGGACGATATTAGGATCACACCTTCTCAGCGCATTTCACGAGCAGATAATAAATACTGTTAATTCCGCGACAAAGAAATTATCGTAATGTTATTAGCAGATTGCGGGTGTTTATGCAAGTGTGGGAAGAAATCGAATAGAAATAGATCGGCTGCATCGATGCTTTTATCAGAATTCGAATTAGATAAGAACCTTGTTCAGTCCCATTAAATTTTTCATTATATCGAAGCTTGGGCGACTGTGATCGCTATAAATGAATCAATTTTTCCGTATCTTGTGCCTTGAGGATTGAAAAAATTATTAGCGAAATATTGTACAAGAGAAAAGCACTGGAGAAATAAAATGAAGATTTAACTACATTATTTGATAAATTATCTGTATCACATTCAAAAGCACAGGTAATTTGATGACTGTTGAAAGATTTACATATGTATGCATGTGTATGTTTTACTCCATTTCCAGAATTGACTTGTAAAAATCAACAAAGATGTCAGATCATTTTGGTCCAATCACTTTAAAATGGGATCCCAAGAATTTGGAAATTCGTACTATGTCTGTAGAGAAGACATTAGAGCCTTTAGTTTTACAAGTAACCACGCTTGTAAATACAAAGGGCCCCAGCAAAAAGAAGAAAGGAAAGTCAAAGAGAGCTAGTGCTCTCGTAGGAACTGTAGAAAAGGCAACTAGTAATTTTATTGAGAAAGGTGAACAAATTGCTTACGAAAATCCTGATATTACTGCTGAAATGTTAAGTGCTGTTGAAGAAGTCAAGAAGACTGGTGCAGCAATGAGCATTGCTGCTAGGTATTGCTTGTATCTTTTTTGTAAAACTTCTTTAGAATATAAATATTTTTCAATTTATACTTATGTTATTACTATCTGAACAGGGAATTCTCCGAAGATCCTTGCTCTTCGTTAAAAAGAGGCAATATGGTTCGTGCTGCAAGAAATCTTTTATCCGCAGTAACTCGCTTACTTATTCTAGCGGATATGGTTGATGTGCATTTATTACTAAAATCTTTGCATGTAGTGGAAGACGACTTACAGAAGTTGAAAAATGCATCTTCCCAAGGAGAACTGTTAGAAAATATCAAGCAATTTGGAAGAAATGCATCAGAACTCATGAATCAAGCTGCAAAGCGTCAGCAAGAATTGAAAGATCCTCAGTTACGAGACGACTTAGCTGCAGCTCGAGCTGTACTCAAGAAGCATTCCACTATGCTCCTCACTGCCTCTAAAGTTTATGTTCGACATCCTGAGCTAGCTGCTGCGAAAGCGAATCGTGATTATGTTTTGAAGCAAGTATGCGAAGCCGTGAATACCATCAACGATGTTGCACAGGGAAAGACTCCTCTTGATAGTCAACATCCTTACGAAGGACCCGGTGAATTAGCTGCCGCGTTAGATGACTTTGACGAGAGAATGGTAATGTCTCCGCTCGCGTATAACGAAGTACGCACAAGACCTAGCCTGGAGGAAAGATTGGAGAGTATTATTAGTGGAGCTGCACTGATGGCAGATTCCTCATGTACTAGAGATGAGCGTAGAGAACGCATTGTTGCAGAATGTAATGCGGTTAGGCAAGCTCTACAAGATTTGCTCAGTGAATATATGAATAATGTAAGTATGCTGTAAGCGAATCTTTTTAATAATTTATGCAAAAAATGAATACGTGTACAAGCTAAGCTATTCCCACACATAGAACAGACTGGTTATTTATTTTGATTTTTCTATAATTTATCTTGATTTGTCTTTTATTCATGAGATATATTCTTCTGTACACTACGTTTTGCAGTTGTATAAGTTTTTATGGAGACAAATTTGCTTAAAATGATTTATCTATATTTTAATATGTTCATTCTACTCATTTGTTCTTTATTTTGATGACTGCAGTTACAGCTCGCTCGGGGTGGGAAACGGGTAAATATGAAAACCTTGTGTTCTGGCACTCTCTTTGCATATAATTTATAAATCAAGCAAAATAACTGCTGAATTAGCTCTCACATATATAATGCTCCTACTTTCCTGTGATGTCTTACAACAAGCACTAATCTTATAATTCTTAACAATGGAGTGTTTATAAATTTTATAAATGACCTCTTGTTTGCACAACTGTAAATATGATATACTTCCATAATATATAATATAGTTTCCAGTTGATAGAAGTCAAGAAGTATATAGAGTAGACATATAGTGCATATTGCAGATGTAATTTTACATTGATTAAACTTAGACAAACTGTAGCTATCTATTGCAATCGAAGTAAACATGTAGTTTGAATTGAATCCAAATTGATTATAAGTTCCACACATTCTTTTGTTTCTTACCATAAGACTATTCTTTTATTATACGAAATTGCATCAACCATACGATTCCACGCATTCCTTTTTAGATTTGCTTGTGTACATAGCTTCTTCGTAATAATTTCATATTAAACGAATTGGAAAGTACTTTTAATTAAACATACTAAATAATGTAATCTACAATAATGATATCAATTAAAATATTTTCATATCTTGCACTCTAATAATCAATTTAGTGAAACAATAGCATAGATTTTATTTGAATGCCCGCACTGCGCTACACTCTGTACACTATTCATAACAATTCAAATATAATTCAACAGATGGGTGTTAAAGAACAATCCGAAGGTTTGGAAAGAGCAATCGATCACATGTGCAGAAAAACACGGGATCTTCGTAGACAATTAAGAAAGGCGGTCGTAGACCACGTATCAGACAGTTTTCTGGAGACAAGCGTGCCCTTGCTGGTTCTGATTGAAGCTGCGAGGAACGGTCGTGACAAAGAAGTAGAAGAATACGCGCTTGTATTCACAGAGCATGCCAATAAATTAGTAGAGGTAAATTTTTAAAAGATTACAAGTACTTCTACTAGTTTGAAAAAATTCACTGAATTCTAAAGATCGTATAATATATATTTCATTTAATCAGGTCGCCAATCTGGTGTGCAGTATGTCTGGGAATGAGGATGGTGTGAAGATGGTCCGTTATGCGGCAGCCCAGATTGGGAACTTGTGCCCGCAAGTAATTAACGCGGCCCGCGTGCTGGCAGCTCGTAATCGATCGAAAGTAGCCCTGGACAACATGGAGGTGTTCCGGCAAGCGTGGGAGAACCAAGTCAGAGTATTAACGGAAGCTGTCGATGACATCACCACCATCGATGATTTCTTGGCCGTGTCCGAGAATCATATCTTAGAGGATGTGAACAAATGCGTGCTGGCATTGCAAGAAGGCGATGCCGACACATTAGATAGAACCGCGGGTGCAATCCGTGGTCGGTCAGCTAGAGTCTGTAACGTTGTCCAGGCCGAGATGGACAACTACGAGCCTTGTATCTATACCAAACGCGTATTAGAAGCTGTGAAAGTTCTAAGGGAACAAGTAATGCCGAAATTTGCGCAGAGAGTAGAAGTCGCGGTAGATGCTTTGGGTAGTAATCCTGCTAAAGAGGTGGATGAGAATGACTTTATAGACGCTTCAAGATTAGTTTACGACGGAGTCCGTGAAATTAGACGCGCTGTATTGATGAATAGAGTAAGAATATTTCAAATTTTAGACTAAAGCTTTACACACACAGATTGTCGTGTTGGTCTCACATGATTCTCCATGATTTTTAGGCGGATGAAGATCTAGATCCGGAGGACGTCGAGCTTGACGAACATTATACGTTAGAAACACGTAGTAAATCAAGCGCCCAAACTGGCGAGCACGGTGTTGATGAGTATCCAGAAATCAGTGGCATAACGACTGCGCGCGAAGCTATGCGCAAGATGCCAGAGGAAGATAAGCAGAAGATTTTGCAACAGGTGGAGTACTTTAAGAGCGAAAAGTTGAAATTTGATAAAGAGGTTGCCAAATGGGACGATGCCGGCAACGATATTATCGTTCTGGCAAAACATATGTGTATGATCATGATGGAGATGACAGACTTCACCAGGGGTCGTGGACCTCTAAAGACTACCATGGACGTGATCAATGCGGCCAAAAAGATTTCCGAAGCTGGAACAAAATTAGATAAATTAACTAGACAAATTGCAGATCAGTGCCCGGAGAGTTCTACTAAGAAGGATCTCCTGGCGTATTTGCAACGTATAGCATTGTATTGTCATCAAATGAATATAACTAGTAAAGTTAAAGCGGATGTACAAAACATTAGTGGAGAATTGATTGTGTCTGGACTGGATAGCGCAACTTCTCTTATTCAGGCGGCAAAGAACTTGATGAACGCGGTAGTTCTTACTGTTAAGGCTTCGTATGTTGCATCAACAAAGTATCCTCGACAATCTACAGTAACTGTGAGTATCGTGAACATACTGCGGTTAGTTACAGTATATTAACATATGTAGATTTCTGTACATAACTAACATTAATATTCAAATTTGTTTACTAACTAACAATTGGATTATACAGTATGTGAGTATTTACACAGCTGTGCTGCCATCGATCATTTGTACTTTTTACTAATAGTTTAATGATTTTCTGCTCGTTTAGTCACCAATCGTTGTATGGAAAATGAAAGCACCAGAGAAGAAACCGTTGGTACGACCAGAGAGACCAGAAGAAGTTAGAGCCAAAGTACGTAAGGGTTCACAGAAAAAAGTGCAAAATCCGATACATGCACTCTCAGAGTTTCAAAGTCCTACGGAAAGCGTTTGAGCGCTCATGTGTAAGTAATTTAATAAAAATAAAATCTAGACACAGCATCACCTTTGGAGAGCCATTCGAGCAAGATGTTTTATTTTCTACTAAATATGACGTTCAAAGACTTAATCTGCATTTATTAACAATTTCTTATGTATCATGAAATGTAGACACTCTTTCTGCAAAACGATACCGTAGAAAGTTACAAGACGAAATTAAGTGTTACTAAACATATTTTAAATATCATCAGTGTACAATCATATTATAGCGTATTAAATAGTTGTAATACCTGGTAGTAAAAGAAGCAATTGAGAAAGATTTTAAATAATAAAATATAAAGAAAATTAATTTCATGTTTGAAATTGTGATAGAAATGGAAGATATTCGCAACAGAAATATAATGAAAATATTTGAAAATAAAATATCTTGAATAAAATAATTG